CAAATGGAATCTCTTTAGTCTTCTGCTCTCTGCTGGCATCCTAATCTAGTTCATCCTAGCTCTTGAGCAATAAGTTCCTACGTCCACTGTGCTCCTTCAGGTTCTCCCCACCATAATCAGTATGATTGTAACGACAACAAAAAGTCTTTAAAACCTTTTCTGTCTGCTATTTTAAGAATTCATTTTTGATTCTCTGCTCACAACCCGTCAGTGCGTATCTTTGTTTTCTGATAAAATCTCAGACTTCATCAGGACGTCTACCAGGTCCTCTCGGTATCTTCGACCTCTCTCCCTTCTTTCTCCTCAGTGCCTGGGGAGGTGCTTCACTTCCCCGGGGCTTTTCCTCACTCCTCACAGGAGAGAACCTCTTCTTTTCAAATGCAGATGTTTTATAAGCATGGGAATTGTGTCCAGCTCACTGTTGATGTTTACTGTTGAGCATAGTTCCCGATGTTCAGTTGGCAGTCCTGGACTTTTTATTGTCTCATGCATATGTGGTTAAGAGAGTAGATGTCGGGGGCTGGAGAGATGGCTCAGAGGTTAAGAGCACTGACTGCTCTTCCAGAGGTCCTGAGTTCAATTCCCAGCAACCACATGGTGGCTCACAACCATCTATAATGAGATCTGGTGCCCTCTTCTGGTGTACAGGCAAACTTGAAGAAAGAACACTGTTTATATAATAAACAAAATAAATCTTTCAAAAAAAAAAAAAAAAGAGAGAGTAGATGTCTTAGTGAGGAAGTGGGTTCAGAACGGAGAAGAAGAGCTGGAAGCCGGTGTGGTGGCTGCACACATGATCGCAGCCACCTAGGAAGCAAACAAAGGTGAAGATAGGAAGAGCAGCACACGTTGGAGGCCAGCCTGCGATACAGAGGGAGGGCTGTGGAGAGACGCTGTCTCTAAAACAAAACAACAACAAAGTGAAATAAAGAGGAGATGCTTTCAGGACGTGGCAGTAGAGATAAAGTTTTTAGACATTGTGAGGCAGATGGATTACAGATGAGCACTGGAATTTCTCAGGAAAATGGTAGGACTTGAAGTGAGGAAAACACAAGCCTTTAACCAATGGGATTGGTGCTCCCTTTCCGACAGGAATGAAACAAAGTGACATGAATCTGTGCAGTGTCTTAGTCCCTTGAGAAGCAGTGGGGTCCAGCAGGAAGATATGGGCTCAGGTTTTCTAGGTTTAGACAAGCTATTCACCTGGCTTTTTGTTTTCATTGTTGAGTAAACAAGATAGTCTGTGGCAGTTGGGAGCGGGGTGTTGCTAGGGAGTGTGTGCTGGTGAGTGTTCTGCTACTGGGTTCTGTCCCCAGCCCTGAGGGTGTGTCTTTGAAAGGCCTTATGGGATATTAACTGGTTCCTCTGAGTTCTTGGTTTCTGTCTTCACTTCTGGAGAACATGGAAGTGGGAGGAGAGGCAAGTGGCAGAACTGAATTTGAGCAAGAGGCTTCATTTATGCAGCATGTTGAGTTTGTAGTGACGGTCAGCGCCAGCATTTATACATGAATACAGACACGAGCAAATACTGGTCCAGGGAAAGGGTTTATAAAATAAATATCACTGACTGCCTCATGACGATGTCATGATGTTGGGCTGCAACAAGTATTTATGTAAAGTAATGATATAATATTTTCCATCATTCTTGGGAGTCGGTTTTGTTCTGTAGAACAGAATGAAAACCATTACGTGAGCAGTATCAGGGAGGAGTCTAGTGATAGGCTTGGCTTCTGTTTAGAAGAAAACAGTTTGTAACAGTTGAGCGCAAAGGACTGAGCTCCCCGTCAAAGCTTGTACTCACTTGGGGACTGGATGAGCTGCTAGAGATGTGGTAGGAGAGTCCTTCCCCGGGATTGAGTGATTGGTGACGGCCCCTTTACTAGGAAACTGGGTGATTCTGATGTTTGAATCTGTCTATACACACAATCAACAAAGATTTGAGGGTTGCCTCCCTTTATTTAAAAAGTTGAAGGTTAGTGTTTTGTTTTCTTGTTGGGGTTTTTCCTGCCTGTGTGCTGAGACAGAGAGACTGAGTCTTTGTCATTGGCTTCGATATCCCCATTTTGAATTTGAGAAGCTTCAGCCAGGTGTGGTGATGTAACAAGAGTCGCCGTCCTTACTGTTGGCGAAGGGCACAGTCCATGCCGTGTACCTGGAGAGCCAGCTACAAGACTGTGCTGCCAGTTTGCTTTAGTGCTTCAGGTTTTTGCTGAAGAGCCAGTCTTTCCAGATAAGAGTTATTTGTTTATTTTAGATGTTTGAAATGAACGACCTACCTTCTGTTACCGTGTAAGATCCCAGATGCCACAGCACCAATGGTTTTCATTTGCTTCTCTCTCTCAGGAGCCTGAGTCTGGCTGGAAATTGTCCATGTGCTTGTATCTCCTTTCTGCTGAGTGCTGTTTGTGTTTTTCCCACATCCTCTCAGAAGGTTGTTTTAGTGGCTTACCTGGTTTTATTTATTTATATTTTCTTTCTATCTATCTATCTATCTATCTATCTATCTATCTATCTATCTATCTATCTATCTATCTACCTACCGACTTATCCATCCATCCATCCATCCATCCATCCATCCATCCATCCATCCATCCATCCATCCATCCATCTCATAGCTCTGGCTGTCCTGGAACTCCCTCTGCAGACCAGGCTGGCCTCAAACTCACAGAGATCCGCCTGCCTCTGGTTTCTGAGTGCTGGGATTAAAGGCTGAGCCACCACATTCATCAGTCTTGTTTTATTTCTTATTTGTGTTTTTTTAAAGATTCATTTATTTATTATGTATAGTGTTCTGTCTGCATGTATGCCTGCAGGCCAGAAGAGGAAACCAGATCTCATTACAGATGGTTGTGAGCCACCATGTGGTTGCTGGGAATTGAACTCAGGACCTCTGGAAGAGCAGTCAGTGCTCTTAACCACTGAGCCATCTCTCCAGCTCCCCTTGTTTTATTTTTTAAGAGCAAAGATTGAAGTTTATTTTGGAGCTAGGTTCTTGATTTTGGATTATTTATATGTCGTTACTTAGGCAGTACTCATCTCCTGTGACAAGGTGGTGAATACATGGGCTTTGGAGAGAACTCTCACCTGCATCAGGAGATGAAAAACCTTTTATTCACCTCTGAATTCTGAAAGCATTTTAATTTTTTTATTTCCTGCCTCTGCCTCTTGGGTGCTGATGTTACAGACAGGTACCACTTGCCTACCTTGAAGTTAAATTCTTAAGCACAAGCTTCAAGGGGACTGGGCCACCTTTTGGAAAGCTTGGTCAGAAGTTCATGTAGTTCTGGGTTAGTATGAGGTTAATAACATCACAGGAATGTTGGGTTGGTGCTTAGGATATTGAAGCAGATGAAAATTAGACATTTGTTCATAATGAATTTATTCAGCAGATATTTATTACTACGTATTATATTATAGATGCCTTGCTAAATGTTGGACCGGCTACAAATAAATCATAGCCTGTACACTGACCTCTTGTATTATTAGAGCACTATAAGAAACAATGGTTTATCTTTCTCAAAAAAGCAAAACTAAAAAACAAAAACAAAAATCAAAAGAACTACCACCAACAAAACAATGGCGTTATTAGGTTAGAGACTTAGAATTTTTACAACCCACAAATATTTCCTTACTATATCCAAGGAATGTAGAGAATTGGGATCAGATCATACCACTAAACAAGCTGTATCCTGAGACGAGAGGAGTGAAGAAAAAATGCCTGGGAGTCTTCCTTTGCCCTCAGGTTTTAGGAGGAATGTTTTGTCTGAGTCACCCGTTGTTTTTAAAAATTCTGGTTTTGGCTTTTCCAAAAAGGTGGGATTAGTGAGTGTAATGAGGCAGTTGGGTACCTGGGCACTTTATGAATGAACCCCCTTTTCCAGAGCTGGTGAACTTGGTCAGAGGTTGTTCTCCACCCTGTTTTTGCTTTCTCAACTGGGACTGTTAACCACAGAGGAATGGAATGTTGGCGTGGTGCCAGGCTATCAGGTCGGGGACATAGTTTCTGCTAAAGTCAAGTCTGAAAGAAGGGATTTTTTTTTTTTTTTCCCTCAGATAAACTTACCTGGCACCCATCTCTCCTGGGAGGAGAAAAGCATTTGTGGGTCTGCCTGTTTCCTGAGTTCCTGAAGTTACTTTTGTTTGAGCCTTTGGCCTCTCTACTCAGATGTGCAGAATAGCTTGTTGTTTTATTTTGAGTAGTTTCAGCCTTCACTTGACTCTTCTGTTTTCTCAACTGGCATGAGAATATTAGTCAACCCTGAGATCATCCGCTGCGTGGTATTCATTTGTCTCATGAATATCTGCAAAGGGCCAGTGTGCCATGTACTGCGTCTAGTGATTCACCCTGGTGATACCTATGAAAATCAAAGGTTAGACAGAGAGTGATGAAATTAACCTCGGAGGAAAGCCAGGGCACGGTGGCACATGCCTGTAATATTAGCATTCAAGAGGCTGAGGCAGGAGGATTGCTACAAGTTTTAAGTTAGCTTGAGCAACATAACGAACGAGGCATTGTCTTCAAAAATAAAACTAAAACCCCTTGGTAATAAATATGTTTCAGGAAGAAAATGAACATGGTGCCATGTTAGGGGACATTGCAGCTTGGGGAGCCTTGTAGGATCGCGGTCTGCTGCCTCCTTTCTTTAGACTGGGGGCAACCTTGGCACTGGGGTGGGTATAGAGTACTTGCCTAGTATATACAGGCCCTGGGCCTGATACCTAGTGCCTCCCTCCATGAATGAATGAACGAATGAATGAATAAATAAATAAATGGGGGGAAGCCTTGTGCCGAGTGGTTAGTGGTTATTGTAGGCATTAAGACATTATTGTTAATGAGGAAATTGTGATTCTTCATAAATAACTTTAAACTCCTTTGTTTGGAAATTCAACTGTAATGAAGGAACCAGAATAGTTTACCATTTGGGTAAGGAGCTGTTGACATCAGGCTGTCATGATGCTCTTCTGGTCACTTGAGCCCTGTACGCTTATCTCCTTTTCAGGTCGAAGCCTGGATTTTGATCTGTGTTGTGCTCACATCCCGCTGCCTGAGAGTACTTGATGACCCCATGACCCTGGACATGGATGCTGTCCTGTCGGATTTTGTCCGTTCCACAGGTGCAGAGCCAGGGCTGGCCCGAGATCTTCTGGAAGGTAAGGAGAGCGTGAGAAAGGGGAAGCAAAATTTCATATTTACTATTGGGGTGACTTGGAATATTTAAGATGATCAGAAAATATTTCTGAGTACCGTAGGCCCTCCATTTTAGTTGCTTCTAATTATCTGCTTTGTGTGACCCACTCTAGTTTTAAAACCCAAAATCCCCTCTTCACCTTGTATGTACTGGAGACCTTTCTTCATCATGAGTTTATATTCAGGTAATCCAAGGAGAAAGTTAGATCAACTCACTAAAATCATAATCATAAGGAAAACACCTGATCTTGACCTCTAACCCCTACATGTTTGTACATACACACCACACACATGCTTTAGCCTCTATACCCACTTGTATGGCCACACCACACATATGCCACACACGTGTCCAACAACACACTCAAAATTAAGATGAAAATGAAGCCATCGTCTTATAACGTGGTCAGTGTCTGTGCCGTGTGCCCAGCATACACAAGGTTCTTGAGAGGTAGTCTCTCAACTGCCATGTTAGAACTTTGAAAACTGAGGTTCGGGGAAGTTACAGACGATTTGAACCTTGACAGTCTTTTAGAATGTGGCTCTTAATGATTATGTTACAAATGACTTCTTGTATGTTATAAACACTTACGTTATTAAAAAAAATGCTGAGAGTGCTGTGAAGGTGAAGCTGGAGATCTAGAGTACAGGAATGCCTTTCAGGAAGGCACAGCAGGGAAATAGCTTACAATACGACCCTGGGAGGGGAGAGAGTGGCGTGGTGTGGAAACCAACAGTGAGAGAGATGGAAAGTGGGGTACAAGAGTGACGGGGGGGGGTGGTTAGGTGCATAAGAAGTGGAATATGGGGGCCCTGGTTGGCCATAGTAAGGAATTTGTACCCTAAGTTCACTGGAAGTGAAGTTTTGAATAGAGTAGTTTTTAGAGTTTCAGTGTTTAGTCTATCCCAATGGGACTATATTGGAGGTGGCCAGTGGTAAAAACAGGTAAGAATACGGTCATAATCCGGGTGAGAGATGATGGTGACTTGGACCAGTGTGGGTGAGAGGGAGAGAAGTTGATGGACTTAGATATGAATTAGCAGCTGGAGAGAAGGCCCAGTAGTTAAGAGAATTTGCGAGAACCAGTGCTCTCATGGTGGCTCCTAACTCGATGCAACTCTAGTTGGCTTCCTTGGACACCAGGCAGGCATGTAATACACATACATACATGCAGACAAAGCATTCATACACATAAAATAAAAAATTAGTGAATTTTTAAAAAGGTACAATTTAGCCGGGCGGTGGTGGTGCACGCCTCTAATCCCAGCACTTGGGAGGCAGAGCCAGGTGGATCTCTGCGAGTTCCAGGTCAGCTTTGTCTACAGAGTGAGTTCCAGGACAGGCACCAAAACTACACAGAGAAACCCTGTCTCAAAAACAAACAAACAATCAAAAACAACAAAAAACAAAAGTACAATTTAGAAAGGAAATCCAAGAACTTTTGTTGTTGTTGTCTCTTTCTCTCTTGTGTTATTTTCTTTAAAAGTTAACTCTTCCCTAGCATGATGTCATAGAATCACAACACTCAGGAGGAGAAGCAGGTGGATCTCTGTGAATTTAAGACTAGCCTGTTTCAAAAACAAAACAACAGAAAGTTAACTTTGGTTGTGTACAAAGACTAATTAGAAGGAAGCAGAGAGACTCATTTAGAAAGTCTTGTTAGAGTCTCCCTTTGAAAATACCAGAGACAGCGGGCGGTGGTGGCGCACGCCTTTAATCCCAGCACTCGGGAGGCAGAGGCAGGCGGAT